GTGTGCTTAATATGCATGAGTGTGTTCTTCATCCACTGCTGTGAAAATTATGTGCATCCACTGCTGCATTTTCTTCTTGTTTTTGTTTCGAAGTGGTGGAGGAATGAATTTTGTCTTGTTTTGCTTTAAATACTAAGGGACTGCTAATGAGAGCGAAGCTGCTAATGAAAGCTTCAAAGATTGTGAAAAAGAAGGAGACTGTGAAAATTTTATATTCTGCTTTCTCATGAGCTCGTAATTCTGAACTACTCACGCACATTATGTACAAATCTCAAGCACATTAAACAGAAGACTCAGACACATTAAGTACAAAACTCACGCACATTAACATTACACACTCACGCACATTAAGTACAAATCTCACGCACATTAAGCACAAGACTCACGTACATTAAGTACAAAGCTCACGCACATTAATCAACCGCACGAGAAGCCACAAATGCACCTGATCTCTTCCATATATATATATATATATATATATATATATATATATATATATATATATATATATATATATATATATATATATATATATATATATATATATATAAAGGGATCATGTGCGGGATGGGCTTCCCGTGCGGTTGGACGCACAATTGAAGCATGTGCTCCATCTCAACTAAAAGCCTAAGCTGATAGTTGAATTGCACGTTAATGGCTATATGCTCACACGCCCCCTCACGTGTGTGGTAGATTCCAAGCAACACGTGGACCGGTAAACTGTAGTATTCGAACCCATGACTTTTGGTCTGGCTCTGATACCAAATTGAAGCATGTGCTTCATCTCAAGTAAAAGCCTAAGCTAATAGTTGGATCGCACGTTAATGGCTATATGTTCACACGCACATTAAGCATTAACTGACGCACTTTAAGTACATAATACACACATATTAAGCACACAACAAAAACACCTTCAGAACACAAACTCATGCACGTTAAGTACAAAACTCACATTAAGCACAAGCCTCACGCATGTTAAGCACAAGCCGCACGCACCTTAAGCACAGAACTCAGGCACCTTTTAAATTTCAACAGCTACTCACATTAAGCACAAAACTCATGCATGTTAAGCACAAAATTCACGCACCGTAAGCACAAAACTCACGCACTTAAGCACAAAACTCACTCACTTAAATTTTCAACAACTCACATTGAGTACAAACCCACACACATTAAGTACAAACCTCATGCACATTAAGCACAAGACTCACGCACTTAAAGTACAAAACTGACGCACGTTAAAAATGCACAATCACGTTAAAAATACTTAAATGCACTGAAACTTAATTCTATATATATATATATATATATATATATATATATATATATATATATATATATATGATGGAAGCAATTGAACGAAGCTAAGGAATATAATTGAAAACATACTATATGTAACAATTGAACCAACCACTATACAAAAAGTATATATAGTATACGGTACCTACCTCCTGGTGCCTAATGGTGCTGAAACCCTGAACGTTTTTAGTGCTAAGAACTTCAACCACACATATTTTGCGCATCTGTCTCCAGTAATCTCCGTAAGGACAGAAGACGATGTCGGACCTGTTATAGGACACAATCCCGGGGAGCAACATTTTGGGGCGGGAAGCAAAAGCCAAGTCGTGGGTCTTTAGCACAGATTTGGCCATGTCCGGAGACGACACCACCACTGCAGAAACTTGGCCTAATTGGACGTGCATGAGGGGGCCGTATTTCTGGGCCAAGTCCCTTAAGCAACGGAGCGGAGACGACGATGCACCACCGTATAAGTGGTGAATGTTTCCCAGGAACGGCAACCTCCACGGTCCGGGTGGCAATTTTTTACCTCTCCACTTGTTCCGCTCTCTAGCTACCAACACAAGGAAGAGTAGTAGTAAGAAAGAAAACAAGTTGATGAGGAGCTCCATTAATAATAATATTAATTGCTTACTTCTTATGTATAATTGTACGTAGTGTTTAATTAACTAGCTAGCAAGGGATAGATAGATAGATGATGGTACGTATTTATAAGCCCCAATAAGACTATATATATAGCAGCAGCTAGCCATCAAATTTGACTTGAATTGAGAGAAGCTTAAGGCATATATATATATATATATATATATATAGTTAGAATAGTAAGAATAACCAAGTACATACGTATAGTACAAGCTAGCTTGTAGAACGTAGACCAAAACCTACTGCAAATGTAATGAAGTTAAAGCAAAAGTCGTCTATGGTTGGCAATGCATGAGCATGAACGGCGAAGATATGATACAAACCTAATTGTTTGGAAACTTTCCTCTTTTGGATAATCATATCGCGTCGTCTGTTTAATTTTGTGGCGGCGGCAGCTATAATGAGCTTTTGAAAAATAAAAAATAGAACTTTTTGCCTGTCTTATTTATATATATATATAGGGAAGGGATCAGGTGTATTTGTGGCTTCCCGTACAGTTGTGTAGTTGATTAATGTGCGTGACTCTTGTGCTTAATGTGCCTGAGATTTGTAGAAGCTCTCATTAGCAGCTTCGTTCTCATTAGCAGCCCCTCGGTATGCAAAGCAAAACAAGACAAAATTCATTCCTCCACCACTTCGAAACAAAAACAAGAAGAAAATGCAGCAGTGGATGCACATAAGTTTCACAGCAGTGGATGAAGAACACACTCACGCACATTAAGCACACAACTCACGCACCTTAGGCACAAGACTCGTACACCTTAGGTACAAAACTCATGCACATTAACATTACACAGTCACGCACATTAAGTACAAATCTCAGGCACATTAAACACGATACTCACGCACATTGAGTACAAATCTCATGCACATTAATCAACGGCACGGGAAGCATTTAACCGCACAGGAACCTTTCACTATATATATATATATATATATATATATATATATATATATATATATATATATATATATATATATATATATATATATATATATATAGGGAAGGGATCAGATGCATTTGTGACTTTCCGTGCGATTGTGCGATTGATTAATGTGCGTGAGTCTTGTGCTTAATGTGTCTAAGATTTGTACTTAATGTGCGTGAGTTTTGTACTTAATGTGCCTGAGTATTGTGTTTAATGTGCGAGAGGTTTGTGCTTAATATGCGTGACTTTTAACACAATCGCACAGGAAGCTATAAACAAAATACATTCAGAACACAAAATCACATACATTAAACATAAAAGTCAGACGAAGACGAAGACGTATATGATGAAGAATAGATAGAGGGGAAGAGAGGATTAAGGGAATAGGAAGAGATGATGAAGACGTATATGATCAAGAACAGAGAGAGGGGAAGAGAGGATTAAATTAAGGGAATAGGAAGAGAAGACGAAGACGTATATGAAGAAGAACATAGAGAGAGGAAGAGAGGATTAAGGGAAAAGAGAGGAAGAGAAGACGCAGACGTATATGTACAGGAGCAACAGGAGCACATTAACATTACACACTCACCACATTAAGTACAAAGTTCAGGCACATTAAGTACAAAGCTCACGCACATTAATCAACCGCACAACCACATGGAAAGCACCCATATATATATATATATATATATATATATATATATATATATATATATATATATATATAATCTAAAAATATAATAAGTGTGAATGAAAGTTATACCCCTCATTTATGTCCATTTTTTCCGTTAAGTTTTTTTTTATACATTATGCTATAAGAGTTGTACTTTAAAATATTTTGGACAAACATACCCCTACCGTTATAACTTCCGTTATTTTTTTCACTATTGTTACCATGCACATGCATCCACCATATATTTTCTTATCTTCTTCATTAATAATAATATATACACATTATATATTTGAGATATATGATAATTATTACCTAAAATATAAATATCAATTTTATAAAAATATTTTACATTACTATTATTATTATTTATAATAATTTAAATATCTAAAATCTAAATAAATTTAAAATTTTAATATAATGTACTAATATTGGGCACCTGTTTATATATATATATATATATATATATATATATATATGATCATATGAGAGATCTATACTAAGAACCAATTTCTGGTTTACATCTAGAAAGATTGGACAGATCAGACTAGATTTTTTCAAAAAAAAATGCGGTGAAATTTTCGTAATTATCAATTTTACTATGCAAACTTGGACACTAATCCTTTTTCGTTAGACGGATCGAGTTGAGATAAAATGTAATACTTATACTAAAATGTAATGCTAATATGAATAAAATGTTTATTACTACTTTTATTGAAATATGTAATACTTTTACATTTTGATTTAAAAGTATTAAATGTTTCCCCAAAAATATTATTATATTTTTCCCTTATAAGTAACAAATACTATAGCCAACATTACTTATAAGGGAAAAGATTTAATTCCATTTTTATCCTAGATTTATAGGTGGCAGTCTATTTTTAGTCAATTTTTATCAGAACATCACCTTTTGGTCATAGTATTATTGTGACATGACCAATTTTGGTCATCTATCAACAAAATGGTTGAAATTTTGTTAAATTGAAGGACATTTTGATCTTTTTAATACAAAGTGCGTTAACCCGTTATATTTTTTATGTTTATTTTTTTCAAAAAATTTATAATTGAAGAGCGAAATGTCCTTGATTTTAACGAAATTTCAACTATTTTTTTTATAGAGGACCAAGATTGGTCATGTCACAATAATACTAGGACAAAAAAGGGATGTTTTAATAAAAAAGGACTAAAAGTGGACTGTCACCTATAAATCTATAATAAAAAATAGAATTAACTCTAAGGGAAAAAATAAAAAAAAAAATAGTTCGAAACCAATAATATTAACTACTTGTGGAGAATTTGTTGTCAAAGAGAGTATTCAAATAACGCAATAAATTGAAGCAAACTACCTAGCAATATCTTTGGACTACATCATATTTGTTCACTTTAAAGGTAAATTGTATTTCTTTATTAAAATGATTTAAAATGTTTAATTTTTTTTACTACCGTATCTAATCTTATTCCTTAAACTAGGGATTTCTCTATCCACAATAACTCATTTAACAATAATAGTTGAACCAAATGAACTCCGAGTAGAACACCTAAATTACTGATATGCTTTTATGTTGATAATAATATGTAAATGTTAATTAATTGGATCATTATCTTGCATAGCTACATTTAAAACTCATTATTAAAAATATCAATGTAGGACAATAGAACATTGTGACACACTTGACGCATTGAAAAGATGCCGAGACTACAACAATGCTACAACCAATTTGGCAAATCTAGAAAATAAAGAAATTTCAAAAATAGCTAATGTTGTTGCATTCATTGATTCTATATGTAAAATACTTATTGTGCATTCATTAAATATATTAGAACTAATATAAATTTACAATTCATTTCATCTAGAGTCAACCTGCTTTGATTAAAGGCAAAATCAACATTAACCTTGACAACAAAACACTTGGTATATAGGATGTATACACTATTTAAACAGGTTTAATTTATGCACAAAGTGATAAACAATTTAACTCCAATGTTAGTATCACTTCAATATAAAAAAAAAGTTTTTTTTAAAAAAAAAAAAAAAAAAACAAAAACACACACAGGCAAACACACAAATCAAGTACTACACTCATTCATACTAATTCCAAAAATATGAAATTGAAAATGAATATGTGCAAAATGGATGCGGAAATTGTTGATGAAACTAGACACGTTGCGGCATCAGTATTCAAACTTATCGTTGTTACTATCAAGTAAACAAGTAATGAAAATAAAACAAGAAGTACTACTTATATATGAACCTTCATCAAATATAATAAATAATATTTTATTCAATACTTCCACCTGAAACATGTAGGGGGAAAACTACCACTGCAAAATATCAACAGGCGCTTGCAAGATCAAAAGTTCATAGTACAACTAAGATCTCAATCATATACACAACAAGACAAATCCACAGCTTCCTACACCATAATCTCATTGCATGACGCTACCATCTATGCTACCACCAGTAACCCAATTGCAAATGACGCACTACCAACAAAAAAGAAAAGGATAAAGAGTGAAGATGAAGACAATTCAAATGCTATCCAAAATAGAATTAATAAGACTTAGAGAAAAAATTCAAACCAAGTATTTATTTACAAAGTTACAAAAATTTATTTTAGTGACAACTATAATGAATCTCCTATATTATCATGCATTCATATACTTTTTATTACCTATTTAAATAAACAAATTCAACATTCAATTGTCTATGTATGAACTTCACATATATAATCTTGCATTGATATATTAGTGACAACTATAACCAATCTATCATATACATTGCAGTATATTTCTCAAACAAATAATTATCCGGAGTATCAGGTTATTGATCCACAGGGAAGCGGGGTGTATCAAACACTAGCTACTAATTTATTCTTATGAAGCTAATCCTAATGATTATCATGGATGGTTGATTAAAATAATTAAAAGAAAGCAAAGTAGCAGGTTTGTGAAAACAATAGAGAGAGACTGAGATTCATTGGATTCAAGTATTTAATCACCTAGTGCCAATCTTAAGAACAATATTAAATATGGGTTTAAACAAGTGTGAGAATGCAAAATAGGGGAAAGAGTTACTCCCGTAATCTCTGACCTAAGTGAATATTCGCTCTTGCGATATAAACACACAACAATGAAAGAACAAGCATTCAATATAAACTCTTAACTACTACCATCTCCCGATGTGCAATAATCAAAAACTAACCTCCTTAACCAATATGCTCTCTCCCAAGGTGCAACAATTAAGTGCAATTGTGTGTGCCCTAAATTATGCCTAACTCCCGTTATGACACAAAGATAGCTATGAAACAAGTAACTATGACCACTAATTACAAGCATCAACAATATAAATCACAATTGAAACACGAGTATAAAACCCAAATAATAATATATTAAAGAAATTTGAGGACTAGGCACATAGGTTCATAAACACTTTAACCCAAGAATCTCTAAGAGAACTTAGCCACATATGGCTAAACTAGTATTCATTGCAATAAAATAAAGAGTTTATAAGCAATCAAAGAGCGTAGAAGAATAGACTAAGTGATTCTCCCAAATCTCCCTAGCTTTTCTTCTTTCTTCCCAAAACAACTTGTAGCTCTTGATTCTACTATTATATTTGAAGATTAATAGGAATAGATTAGGAAATTTTCATACAATATTCCAAAATCCACCCAGAATTCGTGACGCGCTGAGTCAGGACTCGACGCATCGAGTTTTTTTGCTGAGTCATAGGTTGTAGCCCTTCTAGTCTTCTTTCCAATGGGGCAAGAATCACCTGAATCAGACATTCCTAGAGTGAGATATGATCAAAATATTAAGGTGTCGCCAAATTTAGCGGGAATTACAACTCTTTGGTCTTTTGCTCCACTTTTTCCTTGTTTTGTTCTTGTGAACAAATCCATTGAAAGTACCACTCTTTGGCTCTCTTTGAAGCATTTTAGTCTCCTCCTTAGCTTCACCTTGACTTTGTTTTGGCTCCAAGCTCGTCCTAGAACTTCCCTTGCTTTTGCAATTGATCTACAATGGTTTCAAAACTCTAACAAACACCATAAAACATTCAAATCAAGTGTAAGACCATATCTTAATGAAAAAACAAGGGAATTCGCATTTAAAGTAACATTTTCATGAACTTAAACCCCACAAATAGATTCTAACTAACACTAGAAATATGTACAGTTAGGCTCACATCGGTTTATATTTAAATAAGTATTTCTAAGTATATCAATGCAAGATTATATAGGAAATGTTCATGCATAGGTAATTAAATGTTGAATTTGTTTATTTAAATCGGTAAATCAAAGTATATGAATGCAATATAATATAAGAGAGATTAGTTATAGTTGTCACTAAAATAAATGTTTGTAACTTTGCAAAAACGCAAGTCTAAATACTTAGTCTAAACACAATAGTCTAAATAAATACTACTTTTGGTTTGAATTTCTCTAAGTGTTCTTAATTCTCTTCTAGGTAGCATTGTCAGTATTTTCATCTTTGGTACTTGACCTCTTTTTTTATTGGTAGTGTGTCATGTGCAATTGGGTTACTGGTAGTAGCTATAGAGAAGTGATTTGTTGTGTTTATTAACAAAATAATGAAACTATTTATACAAGAGTTTAACAACTAAATACCAAAGATACATCAGAACTAATATAGTGGGAAACAGACTAATAACACCTATTCAAAAGGGGACATTACAGAAGAATAGAATGACCAAAACAGAATAGTGAACTTAATCAATGTGAGCCATCCACAATATGCCCCCACAAGATGGAGGATCCATAAGAGACTCCAATCTTGGAGCGCAAATGAAGAAACATATATCGCCCAAGAGGCTTAGTGAGAACATCAGAAATATGGTCCCAAGTAGAAATATGCTTAACACACAAATAACCATCAAGCACTCGTTCTCGAACAAAAAAGTAATCCAAAGCTAAGTGCTTCATTCGAGAGTGAAAAATAGGGTTTCTCGACACATACATTGCACCAAGATTATCACAGTACAATATCGAGGCTTTAGTAACTGGAACACCAAGCTCACACAGAAGATTTTGAACCCAAACAAGTTCAGCCGCTGCATTCACTAACGCTCGGTATTCAGCTTCCGTGGAAGAGCGGGAAACAGTTTTCTGACGAGTGGACTTTCAGGACACAACATTAGATCCCAAGTAGATAACGAATGCGGTAGTAGACCGACCATAATCACAATTGCCACCCCAATCAGCATCCGAAAAGGTTGTAAGAACAAGAGGAGTACCTGAACGCAGAAATAACCCATGGTGAAGCGATCCTTTCAAGTAACGAAGCAAACGCTTCACTGAAACCCAATGAGAAGCCTCAGGTGCATGCATAATTTGTGACAACCGATTCACCACAAACGCAATATCAGGCCTAGTTGCACCCAAATATTGTAGTAAGCCTATCAACTTTCAAAAACCTATGGCATCCTCCACCATAGCAGAACCTTTTGCAGACAAATGAACAGAGGTAGACATAGGTGTGGCAACAGATTTCGCTGCATCCATACCAAAACTAGACAAAATATTAGTGATGTACTGACTCTGAGATAGGAAAAATCCACCAGAAACAGGCACAACTTCAACCCCAAGAAAATGATGAATCGGGCAGAGAACTTGTAATGCAAACCGGCGAGACAAAAGACTCACAAACCTATCCAGAAACACCACATTATTTATAGTAAGAACAATGCCATCGACATACACAAGAAAGTAAGTTACCACACCATGCAAGCTATACACAAATAGAGACGCATCAGAAGGTAGACAACTCCAAATACCACGCACGAGGCGCCTGCTTCAAGCTATACAACGCTTTTTTTTTTTTTTTTTTTTTTTTTTTTTAACTTACAAATGTGTCCCAGCCGACAAGGATCAACAAAACCAAGTGGCTGATCCATAAAAATGTCTTCATGTAGCGTCATGTTCAAGAATGCATTATTTACGTCCAATTGCCGAACTGGCCACTAACGAGTTAGAGCAATTCTAAGAACCACCCGAATAGTTATTGGCTTCAATCACAAGGCTAAAATTTTCATAATAATCACGCCCAGGTTCCTGCAAAAAACCTTTGGCCACCAACCTAGCCTTATATTTAGCCACACTACCACCTAAGCTACGTTTACCGCGAAAAACCCACTTACAACCAATTGTTTTCTGCCCACACGGTGGAACTAAATCCCAAGTTTCATTCTTCTGTATAGCAAAAATTCAGCATCCATAGCCTATCGCCATATGGATGTTTCAACACTTGAGGAATAGTAGAGGGTTCCAAAGCTGTAGGTAATGGATGTGCACTGATGACATTGATAAAAGCACTGGAATAATATATTGGATTGGGTATGCGATGTCGGGCTAACCAGAGGGGTTGAGGTTTAGTGGAGCTAGATGAAGGATTAGGTTCAGTTGGTTGAGGCTGGGGCGGAGGTTCAATAGAACTAGAGGGAGGATTAGGTGCAGTTGGTTGCGACTGGGTAGCAACATGAGTTGACTGGCTGGGAGAAGAAACAACGTGAGATGAGGAAGCGGGAGACTAAGACGTAGCAGTGTTGGCCTCATGATTAATCAGAGAATGATCACCTAGAGGAGCCGTCGAATTGCGTGGAGAATATGCAATTGAATTCTCAGTAGCAGGACGGCTATCGTGATCGCTGGAATTTGGCAGCGATGGGAAAACCAATGGTATAGAATAGGATGAAGTTAAAATAGTATGAGGTGGTTGAGGCCCAAGGTTGTGCTTAATTGTAGACTTAATAAATTTTTTATAAGGAAATTTAGTTTCAACAAAGTGAACATGACACGAAACATATATATTTTTTGTTACTAGATCAAAACACTTATAGGCAGCCTGAGACACCGAATAGCCAAGGAAAATGCATGGTCTAGACTTTAGTTGTAGCTTGGAAGAGTTATAGGGCCGTAACCATAGATAACACAAGCAACCAAAACACTTGAGTTTTTTTATAGTTGGGAACACGGTTAAACAATTTTTGAAAAGGAGAAATATTACCTATGATTGATGTAGGTAGTCGATTAATCAAGAACACTGTGGTTTCAAAAGCATATGACCAGAACGACGTAGGCAAACCTGCTCGACCGAGTAGCGACATGCCTGTTTCAACAATATGTCGGTGTCTCCTCTCAGCAGTGCCATTTTGCTCAGGAGTATGGGGAGGAGTTATGTGAAATGTGAAATTCCACAAGAATTAAACAACGGAATTATCTTAATAAACTCACCACCATTATCGGAAAAAACTGAGACAATAGAGTAGCCAAAATTTTTTTCTACAAGTCGCTTGAATTAAGGAAAAATTATGCTAACATCAGACTTTCTTTTTAGCGGATACAACCATATATACTTCGTAAAATAGTCAACAAATATGACATAATATGAATAGCCATCTACTGAAACATCTTTCGTACTCCAGACATCTGTGCAAATTAATTCAAGTGGCTTGGAACTTTTTAGGGAATTCTCATAAAATGGCAGTTTATGACTTTTGTGACAGCTCATGAATCACAACTAAAACTATGAACCTTAGAGTGCTTAATACTCAAATTATTTGATCTGAAAACATACTCAAGTGTTTTATTGGAAGGGTGGCCTAAACGATGATACCACTCATAAATATCAGACTTGGTGGTAAGATGAAGTTGAAGCGAAGGCAGCACTCCTAAGATGTAAACATCATTGATATTTTTTTCCCTGCATTAGGCACACCCCCCGTGTGAAGATCCTTGACACTAAAAGAAAAATGAAAGAATTCAACTGAAACATTATCAGTTTGACAGAGTTTGGCAACCGAAACTAGATTACGACGTAACTTTGGAACACAAAGAACATTGGTAAGAGAAAGATCTGTAGAAGGAGTTGGTAAAATTGTGCTACTAGTATGAGTTATAGATAAAGAATTACCATCACCGAGGTTCACTTGGTCAGGTCCACTGGACACAGTGAATGTCGGTAACGACATAGGACTAGTCGTCGAATGGTGAGATGCTCCGTTATCAAAAAGCCATGACTGAGATGGTGGCATACCACTTACAGAAGAATTAATAGAAGGTCCCGAGGCATAAGTCTGAGATTGAGGAGCCTCGAACACATTGTGGTCACGAAAGAATCTGGCAAGCTTCCTACAGAATTTAGTTTCATGGCCCTGAAAATTACAAAAGTGACAAATTAAATTTTGGCGATAACCTCCATTATTGGATCTGTTTCCATTTCCACGCATGTATCTGTAATTTCCTTGACCACGATTTTGCGAAGTATCACGATTATTTTGCATGGAATCACGGTTGGAGGTTGATGAATTATACTTTTGTGTGACATTAGCAGTCACCAACAATGATTGACGTTGCTCTTCGAAATGCTTAAGCGCACGTTCATGATCAGAAAGAATGTTGTTGAGATCAACATAGGTAAGTCCTGACTTTTGTACTCTGATGGCTGGAACAATAGACCCATAATCATCTCTTAACTAGTTGAGAACATAGGCAATGAGATAATTCTCATTGACTGGGCTTTGAGCAGCTGCTAAGGTATCCGAAATCTTGCGCATGTCACTTAAATATTCTGCAATGGTTCTATTTCCTTTTGGATTGTTGGTTAACTTGGATTTGAGATAGATAATACGTCCATGTGAGTCACTAGCATAGCTGGTCGAGAGCCGTGACCAGGCTTCAGAAGCAGTTTCAGCCGAGGAGATTAGAGGCTGAATGTTCTCCGAGCAACTTCCTAAAAGAGCACCAACTATGATTCGATCCTATCTATACCATGTAGTGTATTCTGGAGTAAGGATGGTGTTTGCTGTATTAGCAAATTTGGTTGGTGCTTTTGTTGTTCTGTCAATGTCTCCACGAAGATCATGACCAATGAGTGTTGATTTTACTTGGCACTGCCATACTGGAAAATTTGACTCGGTTAATCGGATGGAAAAATGAGTGGGAGCAGTCAAATGGATGACAACAGGAATGGGAGTTGTGGTGGTCATTTGAGAAAGTGATGGGTGAAGGAAGAAGAGAAGGATTGTATAATCCTAGTAAAGACAAAACAAGGGCTCTTGATACCATATAGAGAAGTAATATGTTGTGTTTATTAACAAAATACTGAAACTATTTATACAAGAGTTTAACAACTAAATACTAAAGATACAACAGAACTAACAGTAGGAAAGAGACTAACAACACCTATTCAAAAGGAGACATTATAGATGAATATAATGACCAAAACAAAACAGTAAATTAATCAATGTGAGCCATCCACAATAGTAGCATATAGGGAAGCGTCAGACAATGAGATTATGGTGTAGGAAGTTGTGGATTTGCCTTGTTGTGTATATAACTGGGATCTTAGTTGTACTAATATGAACTATTGATCTTGAAAACGCTTGTTAATATTCGATAGTGATAGTTGTTTCCCCAACATGTTTCATGTGTTGTGAGATGTGTGTCGTAGATTCTCATGTGAAAATATTGAACAAAATATTAATATTTATTATATTTGTAGAAGGTTCATGGGTAGTACCCCTTATTCTAGTTCTACAACTTGTTTACTTGATAGTAACAACAATGACTCTGCAGGTAGTCTGAATACTGATACCGCGCAATGTGTCTAGTTTCATCAACAATTCCCATATCTATTTTGCACATGTTTATTTTGAAGTTCATGTATTTTTGGAATTAGTATGAATGTGTGTAATACTTGATTTTGTGTGTATGCGTGTATGTGTGTGGTTTGTAAACTTTTTTTCTTGAATTGATACTAACCTTGGAGTACCCATTGCTATCTTTTCACCATAATGAGTACAGTTAAATAGTTTGTCACTTTGTACATAAACTTTTTTATAACATATTTAAAGGACGTACAATAAGTATTTACATACATGATCAATGAATGCTGGAACAGTGGCTATTTTTGAAATTTCTTCATTTTTTTGGATTTGCAAGATTGGTTCCGGCATTGCTCTAGCCTCGACATCTTTTCAATGCGTCAAAAATGAAGAAATACGATTTATCTTAAAAATGAACAATTGTGATGTAGTCAAGAGATATTATGGGGTAGTTTCATGCTTCAATTTCTTGGTTTATTTGAATACTCTTTTTGTCAATAAATCCTCCACAAGTATTAATATTTTTTTTGAAAGCTCCACAAGTATTCATATGATTGTCTTCAAATAGTTTTTTATTTTTTCCATGATATTAATAAAATACTTGGTAAATAAATAGATAACATTATTTTGTATTATAACTTTGATATTTAATTACAAGATAGTGTAAAAAGAAGATAATGAACAAAGTAGTGAATATAATCTAAAAACATAATAAGTTCCAATCCAGGTTATACCCCTGATTTTTGTCCATTTTTTCTGTTAAATTTTTTTGTACCTTATGCTATAAAAGTTGTACTACATAATTTTTTGGACAAAAATATCCCTGCCGTTATAACTTCTGTTATCTTTCCACACTATTATTACTATGTATATGCAGACACAATAATTTTTTCTTACATCCTTCAATGGTAAGTTTTAATTCATTTAAGTTTTAATTAAAATGTTAACATAGTTATATATAGTAATTTATCATTCTATAATTTTTACCTCAAAAATATTAATATGAATTATATATATATATATATATATATATATATATATATATATATATATATATATATATATATATATATATACACGCACACTATTATTTTTTTTAAAAAAATATAACTAAGATTTTAATATTTAATTTTAATATAGGGCATATATTTTTTGCGCATCGCGCATATAAAATACTAGTTAATTAATAAATATGAAGGTAAGATATCTTTGCATTGTTATAGAAAATAAAGACAATATAACTTATGAAATTATGTCTCTTTTAAATTTTTTTTTAGTAATGAATAAATTTATTTTGAATAAAGACATTGTAGACATCTAATTCTAAATTAAAGAAATACATATGTATTATTTTTAGTTATAGCAACTAATTTATTTAATTTAATAAGAGTAATAGAGTGGAGTACTTACATTTCATCCACAACAATGAAGTCATTGATATTTTTATTTTCATTCATTGTTGAGACAAATTGTTTTGGGTGTTTGTCATTGGCATTTGATACAATTGTTGTCAATAGAGAATGAGGATAAATAATTCAAAATATATGATTACAATATATATTGTTATAATGATATAGTAAAATTTTGACTTACAAATTTCTTTAGAAATTTCATACATTGATAAAATTATGAGAATGATGTGTAATCTTGTTCAATTGGAGCCACTAGGGTGTTAATATTATCAATTCTTTGGACAATGGTCCGATCATTTAGGGTCCAGGTGTACTTGTATTTCTGATCAACAACTTTGTGGTTAGGTCGCACAGGTCTGACAATGATAGATGTAAAAATAATTTTGTCTGATAAAAAATAATAACATAATATTTGTAAAATAATGTATAATTGTACAATTATATAAATACAGACAAAAAATATTAATACCATAATGACCTAAATCATTCCCAATAATGTAAAACTATAATTAAAATATTGTGTCTTGTTCTAAATTATCAAAAGAAGATTAATTAAACAAAAAAAAAATGAAAAGAAAAAAAAAACTTAACCTAAACTTATTTTTTTTAAAATGCAACAAAGTGATTTTCAAGATTCCTTATTTGTAATCTTTGATGCTCAACTTTGAATGATATGTATTTAGTCGGCAATTTTTTGATAGAAGTTCATGTTAAATTTTATATTGTATTATTTTATTGCACTCTAGCATATCTATAGTATATGTTCAACAATTATGCCAACTCTGATTGGGATGAGGTTCAAAACTAAAACCTTTCTTATAGAAATCAATGAGTAAGTTATGAATAACAAATAGTTAACGGAATATTCTGTTACTAAAGTTTATACTAACAGATTGTTGAAGTGTTTAAGGGAAGAAAATAATATATTAGAAGGTAAAATAGAAAATTAAAAAAATACTAAAATCAAAATAATATGAACCATTCATTTTATCAAATAATTGGATGGATATTTTTTTATTTTATTGGCTATATATATATATATAGATAGATTTACATTCAGGTAAAAGCACACCTTAAAATAAAAACGTGTGGACTCTTTCTGACCATTTGATCTGTCTGTTATACGGTCTTGATAGTGTTTATGTCTATGGGGTGTTTTAGTTCGTGTTTAAGTTTTTATTATTAGCGCGGGGGTATTTTGGGGCTTTTACTACGAATTAACCTTTGCAGGTCTGGCTCTTATTCCACACGCGTCCGATTTAGTCGTAGATCTATCGTAGTCTTCTCTCTCACTCTTTTGCTTAGTTGTGAAGCTGTGTGCTGGCACCGTTGGTCCTTCGCGTTGTGTGGTCTTGTCTCTCCTCCGTCTTTGTCCACAAGCCAAATGGTCATCAGTGGAGATCGCAGTAGGGGCAAGAGGCGGGCGCCGCATGGTCGGTCTGTCGGTAGAGGTAATTCTTTCTCCCCTTTCGCGTGGTTGTTTTATTTTTCCTCGTGCCCTTGTGTTTTGTGTGTGTGTGTTGTCGTTTTCTTGTTGTGGGTATGTATAATCTCGGTCATCGTAGTCGTGGTTTTGTGGGTGGGGTGATGGTGCTTTTTCGGATTTTGAGTGCAATGAGTATATCTAGGGTTTTTTTTTTTCCATTTTTTAATATGAAATTGCTTTTAGGTTTTTGGTTATGTTGGGTTTTAGGTTTTTTTTTTTTTTTTTTTTTTCAGTTCCTACTTAGTATTAAACAGCAGCCGAGTACTTCTGTGCCTCGTGATGGTGTTCGTCCTTCTCAGTTGAGTTTCACACAGCTGGAGGGTGTTGTTTTGTGTAATCCCAATCATTTGCGAGTGATAGAAGAGATTGAACGTGTTATTTATGATCGGGGTGAGTTTAATGATGCTCTTTCTTTTAGCCTTTGATTAACCCAGGAATTTGGGGATGCTCTTCGTGATGGGGTTGCCAATATTGCTTCTGAATACATGGATGGGGTTAGTTTGCTATTTCTTTTTGGGGGATTTTAACCAGGTTGCTTTGTCACACTGTATTGCACACATATAATGTGCTGGTGTGAACACGGTAGGGTGGGCTCATTGTGGTTGTTATTAAATGTTCTCCTTCTCTGTTGTAGGAGTTTGAAAATGAAGGCATTCAAGATGGGGGGTGTGGTGGGGTCGCCAATGGTAGCGTCCTGTGCAATGATGTGAACAAAGGACTTGTGTGGGCTTAGCAGACCGTGGATCCGGATGTGGGTGTAGACAATCGATCCTAGTGTCTGGAGTTTGCTACTCCTGTAGAGGTCTTTCTCCTTTGCCTTTGCTATTAACGCTGGCCATTTTATTGGGGTGCAGACTCCGATTTATTTCCTGCACACTCTGGCTTACACTCGTGCACACACACGTTATCACTAGTCTGTGCTTGTGCACGGTTGATTAGTTTTAGGGGATATGTCCTTTCTGTATGTTGGGGTGTTTAATAAATTGTGGTCTACTAGCATGTTGTGTGCACAGCTTTTTGAGACTGTGTGTAGTCTTTCTCTTTTGCTTTTGTTATTAACGTTGGTTTTTTTTTTGGTGCATACTCTAGTTTATTATAGGCACACACTGGCTTACGCTCGTGCACACACATCATCACTAGTCTGTGTTTGTGCACCGTTGATTAGTTTTAGGTGCTATGTCCTTTCTGTACGGTGGGGTTTTAAAAACATTGTGGTCTACTAGCATGCTGTGTGCACAGCTTTATGAGACTGTGTGAATGGTCTCTTCCATTCTCATTGCAAATGACCGTGTGTATTTTTCGGCGCTTGTGTGCAGTAATTTTTAAAGGATAATGATGGAGTTTATGTTGTTTGTTCAGAAGGGCCTATTTGTGGGGCACCGGTGAAACCAGATCGGCCTGTTGTTTGTTGTGTTGATAGTGGCTTGTTATGTGTCTTAGGTAGGACATTGTGGTTAAAATTGGGGACAGGTCTGCAAGGTGGGATGATTTGTTGTCCCTTGTCCCGGGTTCTGAAGTCGCTGTTGCGATTATAGATGCATAGTCGTGTCTGTTGAATTGCCGGGAGGCTTCCAAAGACTCCTTGCTCCCTTCAAGGTTTTTTGCTTCTATGTTCACCACTGTAAGTTGGTATTTCAGTTAGTCTTTATTTATTCATGGATAGTTTGCACTTGGGTTTATGGTGTGTGTGTGTGTGTGTTTTTTTTTTTTTTGGTGGTGGATTTATATCTTTTTGGTTCTGTTTTAGCTTAATATAGCTGTGGGTACATCACACTCTCGTGATCAAAGGGTTAGATGGTTCTGGGAGAGGTTGAGGTTGATGCTTCGAAGTGGGATTGTGGTCTTGTGAAGGGGGACACTAGTACGTTGCACAATATGAGGCTTCAGTATATGAAGGAACTAGCAGTGTCAGAGTTTAATGTGCACAATGCACGGAACCTGTGCCGGGCTTACCAGTCTATCTCGGCTCCTCTGCCTAGTTTGTAAATATTAGGTTACCACTATGGTGTGTTTGGATTTTGTACACTAGTTATTCCACATTTTCTTGCCTTACTAGTTTTTGACTTCACGTTGTGGGGTACTACTGTTATCGAATGGTATTCACAGTATCTTTATTCTCTAATTGATTTGGGTTTAGCATTGTTATCCAGAATGTGCACGCATGGTTTTTATTTTGTGCGTTAATATTCTGTTTTGTGTTCTGGAAATATTGTGTGGTTTGTGTGTGCAAATATGAGTGTCGATGTGTGCTTCCTCAATTCCTCCATATGGCTGTCTGTTACGAACCATTCAGATTTAAGTTGGCCAGTTTACTGACAACTAAGTCACGCATTTTTCATACCTCGGTCATTTCCGTGAATAGTATAGGATACCTAGGAGCGTTGAAACTGTGTCTCTGTGTGTGTGGAAAAGACATCTCTGTTGCACGTGTTGTCGTGCGCTAAAGGTTATGAACCGAAATGTGTTTCCCTATAGCTATTCATGTAGTAGTCAATGACTGTGTGCATCGGTACTGGACTACAGCGTGCACGCCATTACCCATTGATCCTTTCACGCATGATTATCCAATCAAGAATAAAAATCACAATTTGTAGGCATCAAAATTATTCAGCTAGTAGTGAGTTTTGGTTAAATAAACCATATGGTTTTAAAACAGTACCATTCCTTTCAAAAAAAAAACAAAAAAAAAAAAAACATAAACACTAACAAAACCAGGTTACTACATTGTTCTTTTAAGCATTACACTCTAATCTTCTGATGGTGCTGGTTTGTTTGGGCAATTTCGACTATCATGGCTCGATAGGTCGCATGTTTTGCACGTCATTTCCTTTTTTCCCTTCTTGCTGATGGATTTTTCTTCGTTTCATCTGGTGATACGTCCATTACACATTCTCCTATATCACTTTCGGATTGCTCTTCACCTATACACCAAATAAACATTGTTACGGTGTCGTTACATGCCTTTTTTGTCAGATTCCATGGATACAAATTGCATCCATGCACAAACAGTTGCCTTTATTCGCACACACATTTCATTAGTCGCATCCATGCACACACAGTTGCCTTTATTCGCACACACATTTCATTAGTCGTACATCTATGTTTGTTTTTTACTTCTAATTCTGGGATTCTTATATAATAAGACGCGAGGCGTGTGCATGGTAACTTTGCACAATGTGCTCAGTAAGCCGACTGCGCACTCACTTTTCAGGGAATAGCCATTAGTGCTACGTCTCTAATTTTTTTGTGCATCGTCAATTCATCCATATTTTGTGGTTTACATTAGCCTTCCTAATCGTTCGCTACGAATTATGTTCCCAAACCAAGCCGTCTCGTACAGTTTTATTAAAAAATTCTAGCGTTTAAGAATTTACGTATCCAATTTCAAACACTACGCATGGTCCACAGTGTAGAAAAGTTAATAATCATGGCGTCGTTTTACTGTTATACTCATTGTGATTCATTACCTGGGTTCGCCGTCGCCGTGGTCTCCATATTTGCATCCATGGTTTAACGTCTCACATCAGCGTCGGATTGGTGTCTATGGAGGAGGATTGTCGTCTGGGGGGGATTGCCGTCGTAGAAGGGTGTGCGGCAACTCCTTGGTAGTTTAGTCCTACCGTATTTAGATTTCTTCATTTATGGTGTAGTCTCCATGCCAATACAATACGTAATTATTCTTTTAGTGAGTTTCCGTAATTACCCTTGCTAACTCTAATTAAGATCCTTTAGTCAATTAATTGCCTTACATCCTAGCCATCTATTTACTCAAATCTGATGGTCCATATTTGTCCACACATTTTTATTTTAAGGGGGTTTGCATGTGAATGCAACCCAGGCTTGCATTCACATGCAAAACACCGTTAAAATACTAACTTGTGGACAATTTGAGACCGTAGGATTAGAGATATGAATGAATTAGATTTAATAGATTGTAGGAATTTTTTTTTGAAAGCCACCATTGAAGGTGATTATATTAAAGATAGGCTGCAACAAAATCTGATGGGATAGAATCCCAATACATCGCATGAGTCTGATTAAAAGCATGTGACGCTAAAGAATGCGCCATAAGATTATCTAGTCTAGGAACAAAAATAACCGAGCATAAATTAAAAGTTGACAAGATAGTCCTGCATCCATCAATGATATAGCCAATATATGTTCGCATTCGTGTGGCTTGTGTCGTTAACTGTTGTTGTAGATTGTGGCAATCCGTATGTAGTCGTACCGAGAGTATCCCTTTGTCCTTCAACCATGACAATGCCTCCTTACATGCTAAAGCTTCTGCCATTAACGGGGATAGGCAATCGGGTAGTTGCATATTGAAACTCGCCATGAATTCTCCTTCGCTTGATAATACCACTGCTCCCGCCGTCGCCCTTCCAGTTGACGCATGATAACCGGCGTCCACATATGCCCTGGGCAGTCCGTCTCCGACAGTGGCAGCAGCAACCGGCGGATTTACTGCTGCTATTCCTCCGTGAACCGAGGACCACGCCTGCCATGCGGTTGTCGCTGCATGCACAACCCGTTTGGGCATTGGTAAGGTGTGTTCCCATACTGCCTGGTTTCTCGCCCGCCATATGTAGTAGAGGATCGCTGCTGCCATAACAAGTTGGTTAGAGGTGAGTATTTTCATAATCTCAAGAAACCAAGCCTCAAAGGAATCAGCCATAACATGCATAATAGGTAATGAAGATTCCCGCCAAACTGCTTGCGAGAAGACACAAGATACTAGGGCATGCATTGCATATTCATGATGAGTAGTGCACATTGAACAAACTGGATCAATTTCCACTCTTTTCATTATAAGATTAGTTGTGGTGGGGAGAACATCACTCAAAGCCTTCCATAAAAATAATTTCCATTTAGGTGGGACTTTCATCTTCCATATACGGAGCCAGTCACTAAAACCTCCATCCCTGTGTTCATAATTTACAACAACAAGCCTGTATCCCCCCTTAACCGTGTAATTTCCATTTGGGTCCCCCTGCCAATACCACGTGTCTGAGTAATCTGGGCATATAGGTATTCGGTTAATTCGTACCGCATCATCATCCATGAATAAGTCCCTAAGTATATGAGGATCCAAGGTTCCAGTATCCTGGTCAATCAAAACCACCACTTTTGAACCTGCTAATTCTTGGGGCATATCAGTTTGTATCATTGGATTAGGGCCATCAAGTAGCCATGGATGTCCCCATATTAAAGTATTATTTCCATCCCCAATCCTCCGCCTTATACCACCACAAATTAAACTATGGGCTACAAATATACTCCGCCAACAAAAGCTAGGATTATTCCCCAAAGCTGCCTCCTCAAAAGATGTTCCTGGATAGTATCTTGCCTTGTAAACCCTGGCCACCAGTGACTCAGGCTTTACAAGAAATCTCCACCCCTGCTTACCCAACATTGCTAGATTAAAGGCTCGTAGGTCCTTGAAACCCAATCCTCCATATTTCTTCGGGACACACAACTTGTCCCATGCTTTCCAGTGAATACGGCAGTCCACTCCGGATCCCCACCAATATTTATTCATCGCCCTCTGAATTGCTAGACATACTGCCTCAGGGAGCAAGAAAACACTCATAGAAAAGGTAGGCATTGATTATGCTACACTTTTCAAGAGTACCTCTTTTCCTGCCTGGGACAACAATCTCTTATTCCATGTACCTATTCTCTGCTTTATCTTATCCTCAATGTATGACAATACTGCCCTCTTCCTCCTGCCAATAAAAGAAGGCAGGCCCAGATACTTACCAAAATTGATTGCTTTTGGGACCCCTAATAACTGCGCCACCTGATCCCTACATTCTTCCGTAGTATTTTTACTGAAACACACACTGGACTTGTGATAATTTACCGCCTGACCAGATAAGGTTTCATATTCCATTAGACACCGCTTCACCTCCCCGGCCTCATCAACATTTTCTTTAAAGAAAAGCAAACTATCATCTGCAAAAAATAAGTGAGATATTGGTGGTGCTCCCTTGGCTACTCTGCACCCATATATTTTGCCTTGCTGCTGCGCCTGCTGCAAAAGCATAGACAAACCTTATGCACATATTAAAATAAATATGGGGATAAAGGATCCCCTTGTCTCAATCCTCTGGTAGGAATTACCTGGCCCGACGGGAGACCATTAATTAAGAATTCATACGAGACCGTAGTGACGCAATACATTATCAAATCAATCCACCTCACATTAAATCCCAACGCTGTTAACATCTTTCGCAGAAAACCCATTCCATCCTATCATAAGCTTTAGCCATATCCAGTTTTAGGGCCCCCCATCCCACCTTACCACATTGCTTTCTATTCAAGTAATGGCCTACCTCCGCAGCTAATAGTATATTATCTGTTATCAGTCTATCCGGTATGAATGCACTTTGGGAATCAGAAATCAGCCCCTCCATTAAAGGCTTCATTCTATTTGCTATCATTTTCGCCATTACCCTGTATACCACATTACTCAACGCAATTGGCCTTAGATCAGTTACATATTCGGGCGACTTCTTCTTTGGAATCAGGACGACATTCGTATTATTCAGTCCCTCCGGGAAAGAACTAGTACTCAAGCAGTTAATAATAAAGGCAGAAACATCGCACCCCCCCCCCCCCCCCACCACCACATCCCAGAAGTGTTGGTAAAAACCTGGATTCATTCCATCCGGCCCTGGGGACTTATCAGAGAACATAGCAAACAATGCATTTTTTACCTCCTCACAAGTAAAAGGGGAAAGAAGGGTCTCATTCTGAGCCTGTGTCACACGTGGCTGTATCATGGCAAATAAAGTGTGGGCCTCGTCCGGGGGGTTACCCGAACTGAACACCCCATTAAAATAGTCCATTACAGTTTGATTCATTGCATTTCCATCAACCCACACCCCATCAACAGATTTTATTCTATTCATAGTATTTTTCTTTCTACGGTCAGAAGCATACCTGTGAAAGAAACTGGTGTTTGCATCTGCCCCTTGCAGACAGTGCTGCTTTGCCCTTTGTTTCCAGAATGAGTCATCCATTGCCTCTAGTCTACACAGTTCGGCCTCCAGACGACGAAATTCAGCCAATGAAGCCAAATCCCGCCTTCCTCTCAAAGAATCCTGTTCCTTCCGTAACCGCTTAATCTGCTCCCCAAACTTATGGAACAGGTCCCCACCCCAGCTCGTGAGCCTTCTCCAACATAACTGTAAATAGTCCTGCATTCCCATATTCCTCCCCTCCTCCCATGTTCCCTCCACCACCTCCCTACACCCCTCATCATGTAGCCAAGACATCTCAAACCTGAAACTCTTCGCTCTCCGTCCCCCTCCTCTTATGTCATCCCGGATCCCCAGAAACAATGCTGAGTGGTCAGACCTACGTGTCATCAAGTTTAACACACTGGCCTGTGCATTCAAATTCCGCCAAGTTTCAGTAACAAGCACCTTATCCAGCCTTTCCTCCGACCAGTTCTCCGTTCCTTCCCTCTTCTTCCACGTGAAAGGATACCCTTGCATGGGCATCTACGCCAGACGACAATCATCTATGGTTTCCCCAAAACCGCGAAGGAGACCATTAGGATGGGGATTCCCCCCACGTTTCTCACTTTGGTACAGCAAATCGTTGAAATCACCTACCTATCAAGACCCATGGCAATTGTGATTGGTTTGCCAAGTTTCGTAATAAGTTCCAGACCTCTAGTCGCCTATTACGTTCTGCGAAGCCATAATATCCTGTCATTCGCCACGGTGCACTCCCTGGTATAGTAACTTCAACATCTACATAATTCTTTGAGTAACTCAGTAACCTTGCCTTATTATTCTTACGCCATAGCAAAGCCAATCCTCCACTCAAACCCGTATTATCCACATAGAACAACCCTTCATACCCTAACTTAACACGAAGCCTCTCCGCATGACTTCGTTCCACCTTTGTCTCCATAAGAAATACAAATTCTGGCTTCTTACCGGACACCCAGTCCACTATTTGTTGAACTGTTCGTGGATTGCCTAAGCCACGACAGTTCCAACTGAGGGTACTAATGAGGACGGGCGGGGCTGCGATCCAGCTCCCGCCATAAACAAGTTTTTTGAGAGATCCGTCATAGTCACATCCCCATTGCTACCAACCCGTCGCCCCTCCTCCTCCGCATACCCCTCCCTACGTCTTTTTGCAACCGCCTCCATCACATAACCCGCCTCCTCGTTACTGCCCGGCAGCGCCAACTCGGCCACACTGGTCTGCCCCACAACGGCCTCACCAGTCCGAGGCGGCTGCTTCTCCATCGGTAACAACCAATGGTTGCCAACTGCTCTCGGTCCTCTTTTAATCTCCGTCCGTAGCTCCGCAAAATACGGGTATTCTTCTACCGGTAATACCGAGTCCCGTGCCATTCGACAGAACTTATACATGTGACCGAGCTTTTCACAATAAAAGCAGAAGTTGTGTAGGCGTTCATACTTGAAAGTCACCCAACACGTAGACTTATCCCTTTTGACAAAATTCAGCCTACGTTTCAAAGGTTTCTCCACCGGAATAGCGACACGTATTCGGTAAAAAAACCTTCCAAGGAGCCCCTGCAAACCTGTCATCCCCCTTCACATAGGTTCCCAGGTAATTACCAATCTGTTCCAGGATTTTGTCAGATGTATATCCCATTGGTAAGCCATGAACCTGTATCCACATCTGCACCGTATCAAGCCTAACGTCATCCGGGAAACCCCCCTTCACGAGCTGGTCACAAACTAACATTGCATTCTCAAACGCCCATGGGCCATCATTAAGCACCCGTTGTATATCAGTAACATGGTGAAAAGTAAACAAAAATAGCTGGGGCTTTATCTCTGAGACCTGCATTCCCGCCACTGGCTGCCATGCTGCCGCCATCACCTGCCTCATGTACTCTACCTTCACCAATTTATTCGTCAGGAACCTTCCCAACAACATCCACCGTTTTGCCTTCTCTACCGCAGCACCCCCCGACCCATCCAACTGAGGAGCGAACGGAGTGGCTTCCTCCTCCTCAATCGCTAAATATGCCCATCTCACAGTAATTGTTGCTACCGCATTCCCTGCTCTCTGTTCTGCCATCATGCCAAGCCGGCGTGCGCCAAACAATCATGATAGAAGCCGGTGAATATCGCCGGAGTTGAAGTCAAAGATACGTGAAAACCTCAGAAACCCTAGGAGGAGAACTTTGAAAACCCTAGAAAGCTAGAGAGAGAAAAATTTCAAAACCGTATGGTAATTAATAATGGATTGTAGGAATTAATTTAGGTGTTTAATTATATATACCGCTGTGTATGTTAACTATATACGACGGTTAAACAATCGTCGTGTATGTCAACTATATACGACAGTTATTTAAACAATCGCCGTTTATTAAGTGATGAAGTATAACACAATATATTAGACGACGGTTATTTAAAAAACCAATGTCTATTAAGTGACGTAGTATACCATTTATGTAGTAGTGATTAGGGGTGAAATTTACAATTTTAGTGTAACTCATGGATGAAAAGTGCAACGTCAATGATAACTTAAGGACAAAAAGTGAATATGACCAATGCTTAGGGACGAATCCTACAATTATCTTATAACTCATGGACGAAAAGTGCAACGCCAATGATAGCTTAGGGACAAAAAGTTAGCATGACCAACACTTAGAGACGAATTCTGCAATTGTCCTATAACTTAGGGACGAAAAGTGCAATTTTTCCTAAACATGACAACATAAAAAATGGAAGACAAAAGGAGTAGAAGTTTAATGCCAAAATGTTTCTGAATTGAACCAATTTGTTGCTGCGCTGGAAGAGTTGCTGTTGAACTGCCAAATTGCTTCACTATTTTCCAAATTCAATTCGCCTAGAATTCTGCACAAACCAAAAATTGCAGCCACCTCCCAAAACTCGTTGCCGCTATCCCTCATCTTCATCCAATAACGGATCAACATATTTGGAGGTCATGGGGCCTGATCTCCGGTCACCATGATCACCAAAGAGAGGTGACCACGACTGCAGCAACAGGAACGACGCAAAGAGGCGATCACAGAAAATCAAGAAAAGAATAATAAAGTAAAAGACCTCACAGCAAATCAGCCATGATCAGACATCAATACAATCACTAAAATCTCAAATCAAATGGTGTTAATCAGTCCACACGTTTGTATTTTCAGGGTTGTTTATATATTTTTATATATATATATATATATATATATATATATACACGCACCTTCAGCAGTGAATGTACGCACCAACTTAAGTTTTAATTCACAGACCTAAGGCTTTGCAATTGTAATTTTTAACTTTTTAGTCTAATGTAGTCTATACTCAAATTAATGCACATTAATCTTTCAAACTTCGCACTTTAAAGTATTTGTTTGTAACTATAGGCTCTCGTTGCAAAAGAACAAGGCAATTAGAATCGGTCCCTACCAAAGAGGGTCCTAGTGAGGTTGCAGTTGGAGTTCGACGAGCAAAATCAAAGAAACAATGCATTAATCGGAGTGCTTTGGTGATGGTAAAATTAAGGTCGTCAACACCATACATCAGTTTTTGTATGCTATTGAAGATTTTATTAAGGCTCAAAGGGACGCTATTGTAGAGATTGGTTTTGGGAACCTGTTGAATTTCCATATTGCGCAGCTTCCCACATGGTTACCACATCGGCTGCTTACCAATTATAACCCTAGGAATAGTTCATTGACATTGAATGACGGGAGTAGGGTGTCAATAACCGAGGATGATGTAGCAGCTGTTTTAGGGTTTCCTCGGGGAACAATTAAGATTCAGAGGAGGAAATGGATAGAGAATTTTCCTCTTTTTTACAGAATAAAAACGGTTAGGTGGTAGGGGTGGTATAAAAATCACATATGGTGATTTAATTAATGAGATGAACGACTACAAAGATGGTGGAGATTGGTTTAAACGCCATTTTGTGGTGTTGGTGTCTTCATTGTTTATAGACAGTCCTCATAAAGGATATGTTGGTGCATAACTGTTATATTATTTGGACGATGTATCCTAGATTCGACAGTTGAATTGGTGCCTTTTTGTTCTTCGCACTCTAATGGAAACACATGCAACTAGAGTGGTCAGAGACAAAAACTGAATATTTCCCTGGTCCTCTTTTGTTTATGACGGTAAGACTCAATACGTACACGATTTATTAAAAAAGTAATAGATACCAAGTTATATTACTGACACTTTTCATTTGTATTCAGGTCTTTTATGTTGACCGTATTGTTCTCTCCATTCGGTCACAAATACTGAAAAAATCAAAAAAAAAATGGTAAATTTATTAATAGAAAAAGAAGAGACAAAGAAGAAAGAAAGAAAATAAAAGAAAAGAAATTTTGAACTGAAATGTCCCAAGTTCACTAGTCTTGATATCCCAAGTTCAGGAGCCCGCCATCTTGAACTGAAAAATGTCCCAAGTTCACCAGTCTTGATATCCCAAGTCCACTATATCTTGAAGTTGAAATTATTCATCTCGAATCCACCAAAGATATTCAAACACAAACATCAAACAACACAAAAAGATTCTGAGGCTCAACATGCTAGAAGGGAAGTATATAGTTACAACAGCAAATTGGTACCCTCATAGAGCATTACATAGCTGGCATTTTCATTATAGAAATCCATAGAGCCAAAATGTACGTGAACATAAATACAAGCAGAATCTTCTTAGGTTTATTTAGAAAAAAAGTAAAAAAAAAAATGGGAAATATATTTCGACATTTGTTTTGTTTGAGAAACCCTAGTTTATAGATTTTCGGAGGCGGAGACATACCCTTGGCCGTCGAGGATTCCCTGGCAACTACTGCCTCCACGCATCAAATATGCACTAGAGTTTCATTTCAACACACAATTAGAGTATCATTTGGATATAACTATAGTTTTGCTTGACAATATACACTCAAATATGTGAAATTGTTATTCAGTTTCATTTTGTATACACTGCAGTCAGGGACGGAGCCAGAAAATATGTTGAGCGGGGGCAAAGAAGTAGGGATGGATTCAATGGCGGATTCAGAAATTTTTTTTAGTGAGGGGAAAAATTAAAATAAAAGAGAAAGTTTGAAAAAAAAAATGAAACACTTAAGAAATATAACAATAAATATTGTTGGATATAGCGAAAAATAAAACACATTAAAACTTTATAAAAATATTTATAATAAAATATGAAACATAATTAATTTGATAAAACAATTCAAATATAAAACACATTATAAATTACACATTCCATTATTAATATAAAAAAAGTTATATATATATATATATATATATATATATATATATATATATATATATATATATATATATATATATATATATATATATATATATATATATATATAATATTATTAGTACAAAATCAATTATACTTGCCTTAATAATTAATAATTAATATTATTGCCTAATAATTATGTATTGTCACCTTTTTCGGTGTAATTATTATGGTAATTTATATACATATATATTTTTATACTTAATGTACAATATTATTGGCATGAAATAAATTA